GTTAATGTTTTGATTTTGTCCCTTTCTTCTTTTTTGATATGTGTATCTATTGCTATAAATTGTCCTCTGAGGACTGCCTTTGCTGTGTCCCAAAGTTTTGGTATGATGTGTTTTCATTCTCATTTGATTCGAGGAATTTTTTGATTCGGATGGTAATAACTTCTACCTTGGGGCTCTACTGCACCATCTCTTGTGATATTCCTACACCCTGCCAACACCTTTGTGATGTTTATTAAGCTCACCTCGAGTTACTCAGTTTGACTTTGCCTTCTGTTTCCTACCAGTGACTAACACAAGGTGCTTCACAGGCCTCCCTAGGGGCTGTCATTAATTTATTTAAGCCTCGGTTTTCTCATCCAGTCCATGTTTCTCACCCTGTCCAAAAGTGCTTTCAGAGAGTCCAAAGTGACTATCTGGTAGGGTGTTAAGATAGAGATACAGGATTCCCGTGAACCCTCCTTGCACATCCCCTTCCCGCCCCCAAGTCTACTAAGGCTACTAAATAGGAGGTGAGGCTTGCAGGCCAATGTGATTTGTTCTTAGTGAGCTTGAGCTTGCCATGTAGGAGTGACTTCTTTCTTCTGTGTCTTTATAGTCCATTAGTTTCATAAGCCAGCACTTTGTTGTTGTGAGGTGCCGTCGGGTCGGTTCTGACTCATAGTTACCCTATGTACAACATAATGAAACACTGCCTGGTCTCCGTGCAATCATTGTTGCACCATCCTCACAATTGTTGTTATGCTTGAGCCCATTGTTGCAGCCACTGTGTCAGTCCATCTTGTTGAGGGTCTTCCTCCTTTTTGCTAGCCCTCTTCTTTACCAAGCATGATGTCCCTCTCCAGGGACTGATCCCTCCTGATAACATGTCCAAAGTATGTGAGACGTAGTCTTGCCATCCTTGCTTCTAAGCAGCATTCTGGTTATACTTCTTCCAAGACATATTTGTTTGTTCTTTTGGCAGTCCGTACTATATTCAGTATTCTTCACCAACACCACAGTTCAAAGATGTCAATTCTTCTTCGGTCTTCCTTATTCATTATCCAGCTTTCGCATGCATGTGAGGCCGTTAAAAACACCATGGCTTGGGTCTGGTGCACCTTAGTCTTCAAGGTAATATCTTTCTTTTCAACACTTTACAGTGTGTCTTTTGATTTCTTGACTGTTGCTTCCATGGGTGTTGATTGTGGATCCAAGTAAAATGAAATCCTTGGAAACTTCAGTCTTTTCTTCATTTACCATGATGTTGCTTATTGGTCCACTTGTGAGGATTTTTGTTTTCTTTATGTTGAGGTGTAACGCATACTGATAAAGCCAGAACTTTATCAGGATTAATGTCAGCATTGCTATTCTGTAGTTTCCCTGACCCACCTTTTTTTTTTTAAATACAGTTTTGAAAACTTTTCTTTTTCTATGTAGTTTAGAAAAGATAGTCACGGGTCTAACATAAGTTCTTTTACTACCTTGGAATGTAATTTAGCTGATTTGGAGATCGGTACTAACCTGTTGCTGGCAGGTTGATTTCTACTCATTGGCTACCTTATGTGTTACAGAGCAGGACTGAACTCTATAGAGTTTTCTTGGTTGTAAGCTTTATGGAAGCAGATTGCTGGGTGGGTTCAAACTACCAACCTTTCAGTTAGTAGTCAAGCGCAAACCATTTTGTGCCCACCCATGGTGCTAAAACTGATTGTTCTTTTGCTATCTCCTTGTCTGTCTTGGACTTTAGTCTTTCTTGGACTATTCTTTTTGATGAAGGAGATAGAAGTCCTGCAGGAACTTAAATAACTCAGCCTATTTTCCCTTACATATGATCCTAGGCAGAGGGACTGTTTCATCTTTATTTTCACTGTTGCCCTGTAATTATTACCTTTTCCTCCCTTTGACTTTCCTGATGACATGTATTCTTTCTGCCTTTTACACATGACCTTTTTATTCCAGAGCTCATGAAAGAGTTTTTGTATGCTGCCTGGTACTTTTCTCTGGATGTCACTTTTTTTCTTCTTTCAGGGGACCGTTTGTGAGAGCTGGATTGATGTTTTAAAAAGCTGGTCATTTTCCTTTAGTTCCCTTCCCTTTAGAGACGCTGGTCCTGATTTTTTGAAAACTATTCCTGTTTCATTTAGCATCCCCCAATTTAGCTGTTATGGACTGCAGCAAAACTAATCTCTAACTTTGCAAGTGGAGGGTGGGTCAGACGTTTTATCTTAGATTGTGTTTATGCTAAAATTTAATGTTTCTAGTTAGTTGACAAAGTAGAGACTGAATTAGTGCTTTTCCTTAGAAAGTATGTGTTTTACAATTGGCAGTCTTAGTTGAAAGTCTTTAGAAATATTCTTCTTGTAAAGCTGGTGATAGGGAACCCAAGGTTGAGAAAGGACAGTGTTGACGTGTCGTGGTGTTGTTAACCATTGTCATAGGGCAATATGTGTATGACTCTTTAATGAGAAACTATTTTGTTATGTAAACCTTCATCTAAAGTACAAAAAAAAAAATTATGTGAGATCAAATTGACAACAGCAACTCAAAAGGTTTGATGGGAAGCCTAGGGGACAGTGAGTTGAAGACAATGGTGATGGAATAGTTTGGAAAAGGATAGTGAGAATAGCAGCACAACTGGAAGAAAGTAATTGATGTCACTGAATTGTATGTGTAGAAATTTTTGAAATGTTGCATCTTTGGCTATGTATATTTTCACCAAAAAAAAAAAAAGGTCCTCCAAGGTCTAGAAGAGAGAGTGTTGACATGTTGTGGGGTTGTTAAGCAATGTCATGAAACAATATGTGTACTGACTGTTTAATGAGAAACTATTTGTTCTATAAACCATCACCTAATGTACAGTAAAAAAAAAATTTAAAAAAATTCTCCTTGTCAGATGCAGCTACTTTTTTTTTTAATTAACTAGTTTTTTAAAAAGTTACACAAATAATAAATGACCATTATGAATTCAAACAATATGTATATATAAAAGTACACCTGCTTTGGAACTGGGCTATGCTTGTGTTCAGTTGTGTTCACTTAGAGATGCAGTCATAGTTCTAAGCTGCATTCCCAATGGAAATATGAGAACTTTCCCTACCAGATACCTTGTCAGCTTTGCTCAATCTCACACCGAATAAAGCAACACTTGCATTAGTCCTAGTTCTGGTAACAATTGTATGTAACCTTTTTCGGGTCCTGGTTTCATTGCCTAGAAAACAAGGAGGATACTAATAGCATTAAAATGATCAGGCTGAAAAAGCAATAGTTAATTAAGAAAGATTAAATTCAATTCAGCAAATATTTATTGACTGCCTGTTATATGCCAGCCATGGTTCTAGCAATGAATAAAACAAAGTCTCTACTTTAGGTAGTTTCATACTTTATCTCATGAACTCTGGAGTGTCTCTTTGTCACTGTTAATGTTAGAAAAGTTAGATTTTTCTCTGTTAAACAAATATTAGCAAGAAATTAAAGGAAATTCATGTCCCTGAATAGGAAATTTAAAATGTTGTTTAGCAGAGGACTGAAATTAATATTGATAAAATGTGTAACATTTTAATTAATTTCTTGATAGGACCTGTTCACTGTTCAAGAAATACACTTAATGGAGATTTGGCATCAGCAGCCATTCCTGAAGAAAACAAATTTATGGCCAAAAAGAAATCTGAATCGGAAGATCCTCTTCCATCCTTCTCTTCCTGAGGAAACTGAAGTGTCCAACTTCCTCTAAGTATTGCTATGCAAAAGCTGCTGTAATTATAAACTGTTGTTATAGGGAGTAGTTTTTCCCTTTACCTAGGATTTCTCTGCACTTTATAGAACGTTGTAAGAAAAAAAAACAACCACATACTTTTGAAGTGTATTTTATCTTTATATAGTTTATTTGCAAGAATAATTTCCTAATAACTTCACTGTATGAATGTGCATTTTTTTTTTTTTAAAACAGATGATGGTGTAACATTTAGACATCCATAAGGACAAATGTAGAGTAGATATTTTTCTAAAAAACTGAGGGACTGACAGCTTAGTCAGTGTGCATTGTAGCTTATAAACATGAAATCTTATAAACATAAGGTTTCAGTTCGACAGAAGTGTGATATATGTAACTTGTGCCATGGACCAAATGGTCACTTTACCCTAGCTAAAAAATGAGTTACGATAGCAGCTTGATGGTGATTGTATTTTATTGTATTCCTTTAAGCAAAAAGGAAACACTTAATATTCTGAATATTTTTAGCCCAAATACTATGATACATTGAAGATTTTTTAAAAGCAGACTGTGTTGTCCTTCATATGTGAAGTTGACATTACTGATTTGTCAATACCAAATGTTGGATTAAAGTATTTAATTTTTATTATTTTTCTGTTGCATCAAAAAATGAATTCTAACTTTTGTGACCTACCAAATTTAAGATGTATACACATTGTTATTTACATTGTTCTAGAAAAGAAGCTTGATGTTGTAGTGACCTTGCTCACTCGCACCAGAGAAATAAATGACTTTCAATGGAGGAAGATTTTAGTGCTTTTTTCCTAAAATAGACATTAAGCTGCTGTTGTAAGGTATTAATGTTTGCAACTGTTTAGAATATCTAGAGATATTTTTTATTTATGAATATTTATACAGAAAAGGAATTCTGTCAAGGCGACTGCTCTGCATCACTTTAGAATGGTATTATTTAATTAAACAATAAATAGCATTTTTTGATTAGTGCCTGCCCATATCTGTTGTTAGTATTTGCTTTGTAAATGGTTTTTTAATTCACTTTGGGGTGATGGTTTTGTTCCAAGTCTTGGATGAGGAGCACTTTAAAACAAACTGGTGTTTTTAAGTTAATCAGATGTTTAATAAATATGTGGTTTTTGCATTCAAAATCATCATATAATACATTGTATTTTTTTACATTTATTGATATTCTGTCTAATCTTTATCAAGTGCTAATAATATTCTTTATTGATTTGATTTTGTTTGTATATTTGGGCCTCGTGGTGAGTATGAGGCATACTTTTAGTTTTGTTGCCTGTGAGCTTAGAGTGGTATGACCTACAGTATTTAAATTCTCATGTAAGTTTACGTGGGATTTTTTTTTTTAGAGTTAATATTTGGTATTCACTTTACTAAAATCTGTAATTATAGACTTTCTTCAAGTTTAAAATGGACATAAACAATCTATAAACAATTGAGTTATATAATATGCAGTTTGATAAACTGTGTGCTACTTAAAATGTTTGTGATTTTAAGTAGCACGAGGTCATTTTTAAAAAAAACAAAAACAAAAAACCCATTGCCCTCAAGTAGATTCTGATTCATAGCAACCCTATAAGACAGAGTAGAACTGCCTTATAGGGTTTCCAAAGAGCAACTGGTAGATTTGAACTGCGGACCCTTTGGTTAGCAGCCAGACTCTTAACCACTGTGCCACCAGGGTTCCTATGTCATTAGACTACTCAGTGTTAAATAATGGAATCTTTTTCTGCCCATGTGTTGTACTTCAGCTGTCTAATTTGAAAAAAAAAACAAAGTTTTATAATGTAGTAAGTTTTCACGTTGAGCTGGCGTTCAGGTTTTTTTTTTTTTGTTTGTTTGTTTTTGTAAAAACTGGTAGTGATAAGACCATGAAGGTCAAGGTGCTACTGTTAGGGAGCTTTTCTGGTAGTTAGTATTTTTGGAAGTAATAGGTTTATACTGAAAACACTTTACCAAGCTTTTGAGCTCATGGAAAATAATCAGACTCACTTTCTATTGCTTTACACAAATAGATGAGTTCATGAACAGTTTTCTGTATTTTTTTTAAATAAATACAATCATTTCTGGTTTGTATCATTTTTCCCCCCTTGAAACAGGTGCTTTCAAGAAAGATTTGCTGTGTTCCTAAATATAGCTTTTATTGTGACTTAAAGCCACTTATTTTTCCTTAGAAACCAAACACGTTTGTGAATTTTTTTTTTTTTGAGGGAGCATAAATGTATCTTGAATTAAATCTAGGTTTTGATCAGTGAATTGGCAGCATGAAGCAGCCTATCAAGCTTAAGGGAACCTTGCATTTTGAGCAGCCATGTGTATTTTTAAGTGTGCCTGACTTTTTGAGTTTTAAGAAAAAGATGAATCAAATAAAAACAATTCTTTAAGAATGTTAGCCACACCAAGGTCTTTCTTTGAAATTTGTCAGGTTTTTCTATAATTTTTTGCTTTGTCTAGGCCCTGAAGTTATTGAGAAATTTGGAGATTCTCTTGGTATATCAATGGTCTTACAAGCAAAGCCCGTGCTCACTTTTCCTTTCAGGGGCTTGCTGTTCCTGTTTTCTTTCAAGTGGATTGCAGGCCTCCGTGATTGAAGGGATCTTGATAAGAATTTTTTTTGTAAATAGACTAAATTTGAATTTTTTATACATTATATTAGATTATTGTGTTATTTTTAATCAAGACAAGTCCAGAAATGGATGCTGTTGCTCAAACTTAAATTCCAAGGCAAAAGATAGTGTCTTCTTTTCCATAGATGCCATGGAACCCTTGACCTTGCATTGCAGTTTTTCACTATGTATTATCCTATTTAGTGTTTAAAAATCATGCCGAGGTCTCAGGATAGGTATCCTTGTAATGTGTTAACATTATACTGCTGTTTATTCTGTTTCCACATACATTATAATATCATTAATATGAGCTGCACCAATTTTTATGAGGTGACTGAGTCTGTCCTTAGGGCCTTGCTGTTGCCACTTGGTGCAGAGGGAGTGTCCTGGCCTGAAAGAAAGCCAGATTAGGCTGCAGGAGGTCTGTCTTCTAAGAGCTCTGGTGGGTAAGTAAGGAGCCCGGGTGGCAGAGTGGTTAAGTGCTTGGCTGCTAACCAGAAGGTTGGTGGTTTGAACCCACCAGCTGCTCTGCAGGAGAAAGTTGTAGAAGTTTGCTTCTGTAAAGATTACAGCCTTGGAAACCCTATGGGGCAGTTCTCCTCTGTCTTGTAGGGTCGCTATTAGTCGGAATCTCCTCAAGCAGTGAGTGGGTTTGGTTTTTGGTGGGTAAGTAAATTGTAGCTGGTAGATGGAGCTGCTTCTTGTCTTCCCAGTTCTCCAGTCCTTTTCTTTTTGAATTCACACTGAATTTGTAAGTTTAAATTTAGCTTTCTTTTTATTAAAATGATTCATGCATATAGTTAAAAAATCAAATAGAAAAGACTTAGAGCCCAGTTGTATTTTTAAACTCTTAGTGGTTTGTACTTGTATTTACCTTCCTAATTTAAAATTTGTTATACCACTTTTTCTTGATTTATCCATTTCAGAAACGATTTCTTGGATTCTTTCATTGGTAGAAAGGGTTTACTTTTTTTACATCCCATCTTCCCCATTTTTCTTCCCCTACCACTCCTGATACAGATTTATCACAACTGTTTATTAAATCAGTAGATATAAATGTTGATCACTCATGAGTCACAAGGTGAACCATCATTTCTTTTCTACTAGAACCTTGTTTTTCCTAGAGTTAATAATTTCCTGATCTTAAAATTTCTTGGTCTTTTACGTATCGATCACAATGATTATCCAAAGGCTTAAATGCTAAAAAATATCAGATAATCTGTGAATTCCTTTTTTTGTTTTTTGGTCCTTTGGGGCCATCTCTACCACTGTCCTTCATCTCCTGCCATCTGGCCCATTGTTCTTTGAGGCTGTTCCATGGCTCAGTGGTCATCCCGGGATCCCTTTTGTTTTTCTCTTATGTTGGATCCTATGAATTCCTCTTTCTTGATTTATGGCCCTTTTTTTTTTTTTTTTTGGGGCTGAAGCTTATCCACCAGTAGCTTCCCAACAAAAGGTGTATGGAAGGTAAACTTTTCAAGGTTCTACAGGTATGAAAATGTCTTTACTCCTGATTGATTGGTAGTTTGAACTTTATATTGAAAATAATTTTTCCTCAGAGTTTTAAAAGCATTCCTCCATTGTCTTATAGCATTCAGCATTACTGTGAGATTGTGATACTGTTCCTTTATATGGGAACTGTTTTTACACTCTGGAGACATTTAGGATCTTCTCTTTACCCCTGACATTTCATGATGAAGTGTGAGTGTTTATTCATTCATTTTAATGACTTGGTGGAGCCTTCATCTTGTAAACTTGTCTACTTCAGTTCTGGAAAATGTTTTGTGTTATCTTTTCGATAATTTCGTCCCCTCCATTTTTCTCTGTTCTCCCTTTCTAAAATTCCTGTTATTTGAATGTTGGGCCTCCCAGATTGATCCTTTAATTTTTAAAATCCTTTCTGTTCCATTTCCCTTTAAGTTGTACTTTCACCCTCCTACCCTTTTTTAATCATCTAGCTGTTCTGTTGAAATTTTTAAAGCTATTTAATTTATAGGATCTCTGTTGGTGCAGTGGTTAAGTGCTCGCCTGCTAACTGAAAGGTCAGAGATTTGAACCCAGCCACTCCTTGGGAGGAAGATGTGCTAGTCTGCTTCTATAAAGATTACAGCCTTGGAACCACATGGGGCAGTTCTACCCTGCCCTGTAGAGTCACTATGAGTCGCAATTGACTCGATGACAATTGGTTTATTTAATTTCTAGGAGATCTTTTTTCTCAGTTCTTTTTTTCATAACACCTTGTTCTTATTCTGTAGATTCAGTGTCTCCTCATGTTTCTTCCAGGATAGTTAAGGCTTTTTTTTTAATACTTCTGTTTCTTGCATTGTTTCTATTTCCTGATTCTGTTTTCTTATTTGTTTTGATTCTTTCATTATGAAGGCTTTCTTAGAAAAGTTGGATAGCTCATCCATTCATATTACCACTCTTAATATGGTCCTAGAAAGCTAATTTCATAGCTTCTTATTTGTGAGCCAGGTTTATCAGTTACCTGAAGGGCCATCAGGCAGAGACCTGGGCTTTTTTGTTGGGATCTCCTAAATTGTCAGTGGAAGTCTTTTTTCTGGGGCCATTTCATTTCTCTAGAAAGGACTCCTGTGTTCACTGAGGATACCACAGTTCGTATGATGACTTTTACTTAACTCCCCTATTTTCTGCCCCACCCTCACCTCATCCCTCCCTGGCCCTCTTCTATGGCTGGTGACCCTGAGCTTCAGTTTCTCCTGTGGATGAGTGGTTGAGGATGAATGGCTGATCTGGCTGTGGAGAGTTGGGAGAGGACCTGAGGCCCAGTTGCTCCTTATACAGATTTCTAGCCCTAATTTCAGCCCTATACCTCACTCCCATCTTCTGCAATACCTGGTACTTCCAAGTCCCAGACTTGTTAGGCGTTTGGTAGGTGGGTGTTTTGTCTGTCTTCTCCCTTTTGGGTACTTAGGCTTTAACTTCCTTAACTCTCCTGTATGAATTATCATACCTCCTCCTACTTTTTATCTTTATAAAGACTACTGAAATCTCATGACTCTGTAGTCTTTCTCCTGTTCTCACTGTGTACCATTTATACTCCTTTATTGCCATTTTAATGAAGTTTTGGATGTGGAGGAAATAAATGCATGTGGTCAGTTCACCACATTTAACGGGAAGTCTAGATTTAAAATTTAATGGTATAGAATACAATATCTCTGACATATTGTATAATTCATTCTTTCTACTCCTTGATGATTTCTAATTAATGGTTTTACTGTACTACCTACCTCATAGGGTTGTTGTGAGGATTAGAAGAATTAATGCATATAAAGCACTTCCCACAGTACTTGGCACATAGTATGTGTTAAGTAAGTGTTAGCTATTGTTAAATTTGTTGTCATTATTTCTACAGTCACACTTAATTCAGTAACCCATTAGACTTGAATGGAGATGTTTTTATCATAGGAAAAATTATTAATATATGGGAAAATCTATAGTGTTTAATAATATTGACCTTTTGTTTGGCCAGACTTCAAAAGAAGTGTTCAGGTTGTAAATGTTGTCTTTTTAGGTAACATTAAAGCCTTAAAAATCCAATCATTAATAGTTATTTTAAAGGTTTTAAAAAGGGTATAGCGACAGTTTTGATGTGCTTTTAAGCTTTATCGGTATTGTGTTTTGTTTTTGTCATCTAAAATATGAAGTATAGAAAATAAAATTGTGGAGATTATTGTTATGCCGTACCTACAGCTGATAGATGTAATAGTCTTTGAATACATAGAATACTGAAATAGAGAACTAGTTGGATTCTAGCAACTGTGAATGGTTGTACAGAAAATGTTATGAACTTGTATAAAGCAAAATGTCTGCATTTGTTCAATAGGCAATTTTTTTTTTTTCTGCTTCACATGGCTTTTTATATTTTAAGGTTTAAAAACAATGAAAAAAAATTATGTTCTAGGTAAAGGCTACTCTGAGCCTAGATTTTAAAGTCTCACCCTTTCAGATATTTTAAGTATCTTCTTTGAATCTGGATTAAGAGATGTGCAGTAATGCTGGATTCTAATTCTTAGAGGTGAAGTGAGGAGAGGCTTGTTTTTTGATGACACTAACCTTTTTATGGCTAGTGAACTGCATACTTTGGAGGGGGTATTTTTATTTATAAGGAGATATGCATTCTCTCTCATTAAAGTAGAATTCCGTAGATGTGCTAAATGATTGTAAATACCAGTATCACTAGAGATAAGGAATTTCTGTACAAAAGGAATGGCTAGTTGTTTAGTGTAACTAAATCTCTTTACAAGTACCGGTGAAGTACCGATGTGATACTAGAACCGATGAAGCAGTAGACGGGTGCAGGACTAAAACTGTGACTGCTGTTAGCTTGATAGCAGTCCTTCCCTAAATGTGAATATTATTCTCTATATTGTGTCCTTTTACTATCTTCTTTGATATATCATCCTGGAGTGTTGATGTCTATGTCTTTGGAGACCATATACAGCCTCTTCTCCAAACGCAGTAAGTAGTATATTTTATAGGATGGAATTTGCCCTTTCTGTCCCATAATGTGCTTCCCTCCCTACCAAAAAAATCTTTCGTTGGTCTCTTTGATAATAAAACATTTTTGGAACACTTACTATGGGCCAGGTACTTTTCCTCATTTCAACTTTGTAACAAAGGTGTGATTAAAGTACAAGAATACAAGAGTAACCAAGATACACAGAACCAGGATTAACTCACATGTGATTGATTAGAATAATGAAATTTTGTTATTATACCCTGAAATACTAAGTATTTAAATTATCTGATTATTTTATTTAGTATTTTAGCTTATATATCACTTCGAGATCCTTTTTTTTTTTTTTTTGAACTAGTGTTAGTTGCTGAACAGATAGCTGTGGCTTATCCACAAACCCCAGACTTTGTGGCAGGGTGGATTAAGTTTCAATGGATTGCTATAGATAAACCAAATGAATTAATGTACAGGGATATTAACACATTAAGCAATTTTTCTGAACTTTTTGACTTTAATGAGGGGTAGTTTCCATGGGTAATGTATTCAGACAAATACAGTGTATGACTGTGATGAATTTCCTCCTCAGTTTTATTCTCTCAGGGTAGGAGGAGAATGTTGTTGATATCCTTTGTGCTTTTGAAAGTTCAGCACAAAGACTATTTTACCCACTTAAACCTCAATATAAAGTGTACTGTCAGATTTGGTAGCATGGGGACAGGGACAAAGGAGGGAGAATCGTGTCACAAAGCCACCAGGAGCTAACCTCACCTTCTTTTCCTTCCCAGCTTTTCCTGGTATTAATAAATTGTCATTTTGGATGAGAGGAGACAGTTTAGGAATAAGGAGAATAATGAGTCATGTGTAATGAGAAGATGTTCCAGGAACTTTTCAGTCCCACTCAGTACCCTCACTCATCTTTCCCAGTACTCTGGACTTAAAATTCTGAAAGAACTGGGCATTTCTCACCTTTCCTCTTATTTTTAAAAAGTAGTGTCTCAATATATTCTCTTTAATTAAACAATCATTAAGACAATATGAATAAAGCAAAAGTTCACCTTGACACCCACTTCTGCCAGCAGTAACCACTCTTCTATTGTATATCCTTCCAGATCTTTTTCTTATGCATTGACTTTTTTATAGATGTAGATTGCAGTATTGTTGAATTAGCCTATCAGTAGCCGAGTGGTTAAACAAACAGTGGTACCTCCATATGATGCAGCTGGTAAAAGAAAGAAGAAAGAAGAAGGAGGTGTCTTTATATGTCTTTACTTGAGTATTTTTTGTGTGTGACAGCTGATTAGTTCTGACACTTGCCATTGGTGGTCTGACAGGCATTCTAGTCCTTTTCTTTTTAATCTCTCTATGCAAAGATTGGATTTCCTGGGTGGTACAGGTACAGTTAACAGCCTTGGCTGCTAACTAAAAGGTTGGAAGTTCGAGTCCACCCAGAAGTGCCTCAGAAAAAAGTCCTGGCAGTCCACTTCTGAAAAATCAGTTCTGCTCTGACACACATGGGTTGCCATGCAGAATTGACTCGAGGGTAACTGTTATCAACTGGTATATGTAAAGAACTATGAATTGATCCTGCTGTTTCTAGATAGCTAGAAGGAGGCCATTTTCCTTTGAAAGACAATCCTAGAATTCTAGTGTTTTTCTTTAATTGTGTATATATCTGTGTATGTATTCATGGTTTCTTGGTTGTGGATAATGCAACTTGGAATCCTTGTGTTTTATTTTGAGATCTTTATGTTTGGTAAGGTTAGAGGGTCAGCAAAAAAGGGGAAGATGCTCAACGAGATGGATTGACACAGTGGCTGCAACAATGGGCTCAAACATAACAATGATTGTGTGGATGGCGCAGGACCAGGCAGTGTTTCATTCTGTTGTACATAGAGTCGTTGGACTTGATGGCACCGAACAACAATATTTACTTTTATAATTGATTTAAAAAATGTAGCTATAAAGGATGAAACAGATTTGCTGTAGAAGCTTGTTGGTAGTGCCGTCAGTTGATTCCGACTCATAGCGAATCCTGTAGGACAGAGTAGAACTGCCCCATAGGTTTTCCTGGGCTGTACTTTTTACAGAAACAGATGGCCAAGTCTTTTCTCCGCATTTGAACCTCCAGCCTTTCGGTTAGCAGCCAAGAGAGTGCTTAACCGTTGCGCCACCAGGGCTTATGGTCCAAATAGGGAGTTAGTCTTTTTCTCTTCTTGGCGACTATCAAGTGTGGCCTAGAAGCGGTAAGGGTTAAGCCTCCAGATTTCTGTCGGAATGTATACAATATCCACAAGACTAAAAACCTTCATATGATGGATTTATATGGTAAATGAGCACACAGTGAGTACCTTTTAGGTCTTGAATTAAATAGGAAATTTCTGTACTATCCCCTTTTCCTGTGGTATTTGTGGTTACTAGGTTATCCAGATGTGTCAGCATGCCTTCACAATCGGCATACAGCACCTTGTCAGGATGCTCAGTACTAGACGAGGCCTTGGAAAACAGCTCCCATTTAGCTTTGTTCTTTCTTTTCTGTTGGTTTTCTTGTTTTGCAGTGGTTGGCTACACAGAAGTGTGTGGCAGTAAATACCTGGGGTTGAGCATTGTGGCCATGGATGGTGAACTTTTTTTCC